CTTATATATTCTTTATGTTTAGTCAAAAGGTTTTTAAGGTATCATCTGCTAAAAATCTTCGAACGGACACGAACAACCATTTCTTTCTTCGGTCACTATAATGTTCAAATTCGACCCGAATACGAACAATTATTACAATTGGTTTCTTGCTCACGAGTTATTATTATAGCTACCAACGCTAAACGGCTCTTCCACTCCAGTTGAGCAGCCGACGAGTCGAGCTGGCGGTGCAGGGACTCGATCGACCGCCAGGAGGGCCCACCAGCCGCAGTATCTCTGCCACCTGCCAACTCGCGCCAGCGTCACGCTGTAACTGCTGCAGCTTCGGGTCTTCGATGATGGGCTTCTTGCAGGAGTGGCGTGCCCGCATTTTCCAACAATTGGACGCGTCCGCGCCCCACTAGGTCTCGCCCCCCCCCCTTTACGCACACACACATACACACACACCTAAGAAAGGAGAGAGGGAGGTGAGTCTGACCTATTCGGCCCGGAACGACTGAAAATTCGGCTGGATTCCCGAGCCGCCGAGCCTCTCCGCTCCGGACCGCGCCCCTGCGAGGTAGGCCGGCCCGCCGCGCAGCACTGCAGGTACGGGCGGCCCACCCGCCGCCGCAAGGCGCTCGCTCCGTCCCGAGGTGGACCAGCCCGGCCCGGTGCGGGGTCAGCTCCTCGGGAACGACCCACAAATTGTTTTTTAAGCGGCGGGCCTTTTTTGTGCTTGTAAAATCAAGCAGATTTCAGGACGGTTAAAATATCAGGTGGTCGACTCACGCCGCTCACTTTCATGACTTTACTGTACCGCATGCACGGGTGCAGGCGGGTTTGCTCATCCTAGCTGACCACGGCTCCTTGTGACCTCGTGCGAGTACACAACCCGCCCGCACGCGTGCATCCGGTACAGTATAACTACGAAAGTACGCGGCGTGAGTCAGCCACGTGGTATACCGCGAGACACGGCTCGCTATTAATTAGCTGTCTGACCCCGGCGGCGCAAGGCGCAGGCTCAGAGCTCTCGAAGCATGAACGTAGGACGGCTCCCCGCGGAACCAGTACCCCGAGCCCGAGCCTCACTAGGTCCGCACGTGTCGTGGGGTACGACTCCACGGTGTCCACGGCGTCAACGTCTGGAGCACGGTGCTCGCTGGGGTGACAGAAACAGAAAGCGTGCGCGACTGACCCTGCAATCTGATTGGCGTTTGCTAGGGTGTTTTAGTCTCAACTTTTAAGCGCTTTGCACAGTGGGGGTTCCCCATCTCGGAAGTGGGCAAGCAGTGAATTTTTAAAAAGCTGGCAAGATATTATTTCAACCAAAACACCGATCCATCAAATCCGACGTGAGCAACCTACTGCGCAAAGCGCTCAAAAGGTGACAATGAAACACCCTATAGTGTTTGCTTGCTTCCTAGGGTAGAGGATACAGTGATTGACCCTTTAAGCGCACATCTGCATACACCCGCCTGTCACCGAGCTGCTGATCAAAATTTTCAAAACTCGCTACGTGCAATGGCTATAGGTAAGGGTTTGAGCTCGGACTATGCGGTGGCTGGTGAGTGAAATTCTAAATTCTCAGTGGTTTAAACAGCA